TAAGTTGGCAGGAAGCCTTGAAGGCGCTTCTTAACCTCCCAGAGGGGGATGGGGGGGGCTCAAAGTCATTTGCAACAGTTAAACAGGAGGCTACAGAGCCATTTATGAAATTTGTTGATCGGTTAAACGAAGCCTTAGAACGACGAGTTGAACACCCTGAAGCCCAGCAGATATTGCTTAAACAGCTCGCTGTAGCAAATGCTAATGTGGACTGTAAGAAATTGTTAGAGGCTTTATTGGTGGCAAATCCTAACGCTAATATCCCACAGATGGTTGAATCATGTAGCGTCATAGGAACACACACATATCAAATGCAAGCCATGACACAGGCGTTTGCAGCATGCAACGTGAGAGGGGCTTGTTTTCTTTGTGGGCAAATGGGACATCTGAAGCGAGATTGTCCTAAAGGTCCACAATTATGCCCCCGTTTTGGGAAGGGGAGGCATTATGCTAATCAATGTAGATCTAAGTACGATAAAGAAGGCAGACCTTTGCCTGAAGCAAGAGGACAGGGAAACTGTAGTCGGAGCGGAGTGTGGAGCATGGGAGAAGTTGGGTCGGCAGCAGTGCAAACAACCCCTTCGTGCCAGCACCTGAGGAAGCACCAGCTTGGACTTGGCCGCCTCAAAACCTGCATACTTAGATACTTTAAAACCTATAGCAGTGCCAAACGGTGTGTTTGGCCCTCTTAGAGAAGGCAATGCGCTGTTAGTAGGGAGATCGTCCACGACCCTCTTGGGACTATTTGTATTGCCAGGAGTTATCGATGCTGACTATACAGGAGAAATAAAAATCATGTTATGGACACCTCAACCCCCTTGTTTCATACCGGCTGGAACTCGTCTCGCACAACTAGTCCCCTTCCCTACTTCTCACAGACCTGAGGATTACACCCCGCTCTGTGACAAGAGGGAAGGTAAGGGTTTTGGTTCGACAGGGCTTCCAGTGATTTATTGGATGAAACAAGTACAGCAGCAGAGGCCGATGTTGTGCTGCAAGATTCACAATCAAGATGACAAAATCACAGTATTAATTAATGGAATGGTGGATACGGGAGCTGATGTTACTATTATTGCAGCGCAGGATTGGCCCTCTGCTTGGAAACTGGCCATTACCTCTGTGACAGGAGCTGGGGGCCAAACTAGCCCTTATCAAAGCCGATCACTTTTATTGGCAGAAGGACCAGAAAATCGACTGGCAACAGTTAGGCCATTGATCTTACCCATGCCCATTACTTTATGGGGATGAGACGCTTTAGCAGAATGGGGCATGCAGCTACAAGATTTACCGATCGGGCCACTGACGAGCAGCTCACCCCAAAAATGACCTGGTTAACAGAAGATCCCATCTGGGTTAATCAGTGGCCTTTAACTATGGAGAAGCTGCAACATCTCAATGACCTAATCCAGGAACAATTGCAACTGGGACGTATGGTTCCCACACATAGCCCCTGGAACACCCCAGTATTTGTGATAAAGGAAAAATCAGGGAAATGGAGACTCCTGCAGGATTTACGAGCAGTAAACGCAATCCTCGAAGACATGGCGCCCTTACAGCAGGGTGTCCCGTCACCTACTTAAATTCCCACGGACTGGCCAATAATTGTTATTGATCTCCAAGATTGTTTCGTTACTACCCCCTTGCACCCCGATGATGCTAAACGGTTCGCTTTCTCTGTTCCCTCAATTAATAAGGCCGAACCCAGTAAACGGTACCATTGGACTGTTCTGCCACAAGGTATGAAAAATAGTCCTACCATTTGTCAGCGGTATGTAGCGCGAGCATTGTCACCAGTTAGAGCAATGTTTCAGAATGGTGTAATTTATCATTATATGGATGATATCCTGCTTGCTGCCCCTTCAGTAAACAGCTGAACATAATGTTTGCCAAAACTAGGCATGCTCTTTCTGCTTTTAATCTTGTAATACCTCCTGAAAAAATCCCGCGAACACTCCCGTTGACATATTTAGGATGGAAAATTGCTGAGAAAAAGGTGGGTCCACCAAATATCAAAATTGATCCACAGTTTAATACATTAAATGATTTACAGAAACTGTTAGGTACTCTTAATTGGATTCGTCCTCGGTTAGGGCTGTCCACTGAGGAATTATCACCCCTATTTAACCTGCTCAAAGGAGACCCAGATTTAGCGTCTCCTAGACATCTAACAACCACGGCACAACAATTACGGGAAGACATATCAATGAAAATTCAAATGTACAAAGCAGATGGATAGAATCCTGATCTACCAGTGAACTTGTCTGTTTTCACCAATAAACGTCACCCTAAAGCCTTAATCGTTTAGTGATAAATATGTAATATGCTTTGGCGGGATTTTCTGGACAAATTCTATTTGTCTACTCTATTCACTGGCCAAAAAACACTTTGCTTCGTTTTTTGGATTCAGTTCCTTTTAAGTCTGTCGCAATGCTAAGCCATACCCCACTTGCTGGGGCACGAACAGTATTTACAGACGGCTCAGGAAAAACCGGCAAAGCTGTAGTCGTGTGGCAAGAGAATGAACAATGGCACTCCGATGTGCATTATGTTTGTTGTTCTACCCAACTCATAGAATTGTCAGCTGTGATTCGCGTCTTTTCTTTATGGCCAAAAGAGCCTTTAAACATTGTTTCAGATTCTCAATATGTTGTTGGTATTGTTCAATGTGCCGAGAGTGCCTTACTACGAGAATTATCTAATGCACAATTGTATTCGTTGTTTTCAACCCTCCCTATGTTACTACAGAATCACATGCATCCTTATTTTGTTGTACATCTACAGGTGCACACCTCGTTACCAGGCCCCATAGTCGAAGGGAACTGGCGAGCCGATGCTCTGACAGCATCAGCAATGGTACCAAATACTCTTATGCAAGCTAAATTATCCCATGACTTTTACCACCAAAATCCCATAGCTCTGCAGCAACATTTTAAATTGACACAAGAACAGGCGAGAAGTATTGTTCGATCCTGCCAAACTTGTCAAAATTTTATCCTTCCACCATTATACGGTGTGAATCCATGGGGTTTGCGTTTGCAAGATTTATGGCAGACTGATGTAACACATTTTAATGCTTTTGGTAGATATAAGTATATTCGTGTTACTCTAGGCAGCTATTCTAGTTTACTTTTTGCTAGCACTCATTCAGGTGAATGCGCTAGAGATGTCTGTAGTCACTGGACGTAGGCATTTGCTTTCATGGGGGTGCCTACCCATATAAAGACAGACAATGGCCCTGCATATACCTCTCAAAAGGTACGCCTCTTCTTGGCG